CCTAGCATAGATTTGAACACAGAAATGGGACCTTCTAATCTGACAGGTAACCCTCTCTCCCAGCCTCCCTCAGCCCTGTTTCTGGTGATGGTCTCTATAGTTGGAGGGTGCTGGGCTTTCAAATAGAACATATGACTTTCTTAAGGTACAACAAACACTTTCTTCCATCAGGCATGTGAGTTGAAAACACATTTATAATGTACATACTTATTGGCTTAATGGATGTTGGTTGGGGTAAACTTATTATTTGATTTTAATGAAATTCAATGTATAAATATTTAAATGGATTTTATTGGGTTTTTTTACAAATAACTTTCTAGAAAAATAGTCTCAGTTGTTCATGTTCATTGGTTACAGCAGACATGGGGACTAGAGCAGACTCTTTGATACTGGGTAAGGGGAGGATGGTGGACTTAGTTTGAGTCACATACAGAAATAAGCCTTATTTAAATGACACAGTTTACTAGATATATGCATTTAAAGTCTTTTTAAGAGAGGATTCAAAAGGAAGTACAGAGCATGATACAGATAGTTTATATCACCTTGGAAACAGGAGTTTGTTATAAATACAAATGTTAAAGATTCTTCAGGTAGAAACCAAGAGAAACAAGGAACATGGCATTGCAAATGAGTGGAAAGGGGATTTTTTTGTTTCCCACATTCACATTTTACAGTGTCACTGTTACATGTGGTCACAGTGTCACACATCCAGGGAATGAGGAGTTAGACAGCTCTCAGATTATTACTCATCTGGTAACACCAGGGTTCTCCCAAGCTGCATAATTCATTGGGGTTTCACTTATAATATCTCTCAACACTTAGAGGGAAAAGAGTGCAGGTCATCATCATTACCACCTCCACCACCATAATCAATCATCAACATCAATTGCTTTCTTAAATTGTTCTTCTCTCCATTTTCTCTGGGCATGGTTGTTGTTCATACATAATGACCTTTATCTCATTTTGTTCAATTTTTATGGTTGTTAAATGAAATAGGTAGTGTGACTGATGTCAAATGAACTCTCATTGCTCTCTCTCTCTTCTTCCTCTGCCTCATACGAAAAATCTGATAGAGAATCTGGGTCTCCTCTTTAGATGTCATTGGGAGATTGAAACCACATGACCCTTGTAAGAAGTTCTCTCTCCTCCACCACCTCCAGAAAACAAAAGCACTAGCTTAACCAAAGCACGTTTACCTTGCTGAAGGTCCTTTCTTGTTCCTCAAGAGATGTCACATATGTGTGTGATACACATTCCATGCTCCTTTGATGTGTGTTTGTCATAATCCTAGACATCCACACCAACCTTGGTGGGTACCTCTGCCTCTGTGTGGTGTCACCTATGGCTGGTGTTGTGAGCATGATACCAAGTCAATGATCATCACCACTGGGCATTGTTGTTCCCTGGCATTATGGACATATGCCTCTGGTGACCCCTTTCCATAATGCATAAGCCCTGTTGATAGCCAGCTTGGACACTGAACTGTGTATGACTGTACTACATAGTTGTGTCCAGCAAACTCTCTGGTTAGATTAAGCAAAGTTCAGAAGGTTTGAATTCTTATTGGAATTGGGCACAAAAGTGTATGAAAAAGACTCTGTCTTTTGCACATAAGGGGATGTTGTATGTGTTTACAACAGACATTTTTAATACGAAAATTCAGAGGTAAGCACAGAATAGCAATCCAGAGAGGCTGCATGAGAGAAACTGTTACAGAAAAAATAAACCAAACAGGAGACCAGTTGAAACCTCCTCCTTCAACCAATCCAGTGATTGTCCCTGTGTTTAGGGACAGATGGTCACAGCCCCTCCTGCAGGGAGGTTTGTTCTGGGGTCACAGTGAGTTTCCCTCCCAATGTCTCCCTTACCATACTGCAAGGCCATGGCCTCAGCTCTAAGTCTGTTCATTTGTAGATAAGCAGTATTTTTAGAATCAATTTCTTGAGATGGTGAATCTGCCTCTCGCAGATGTAGCATATTCTCTTGTGTGACTGATAACTTTATTTCTAATTAAACCTACCCACTCCAGTCCTTTTACTGGAAGCTGGTGGATCCAATTTATACAGTAGTCACTGAAACTGAATCAACAACCTTTAAATGAGAGTCTCAGACATCCAGGCTGTCCCAGATGCCCCCAGAATCCATCAGCTTCAAATGACATCACAAACCTGCAGCAAACGGACTCTTGTTAGGAGTAGACACAAACTTAAACCTCCCTTTCTTCATCGCATCGCAATTTAAAAGCTCCAGAGCCAGTGTCCAGCTCATCAGAAACATCGTGGAGTTTGCTCTAGGTTAATTGCTGCAGTGACTGCAAACTGCAGAGAAGCTGGGGGTGCTATCCCTAAAAGTCAGGAACAGTGACGGGGCTGGGCACATCAGCACATGGAGTGCCAATTTGCATGTGCTCCTCCACTTTGGGACAGAAAACTGAAGTACATAGGTGAGGGCCCACTCTCCACTCAGAGGGACAAGTTTCCTTTTGATAGTGATAGTTTTCTAAGAGGCTGGTTAGTGTGTGCTGCAGAGTTATTTTTGTTGTTGCTAATTTCTACCGTCAGTCATCTTAACACAATTTAATCTAGGGCAACATTCCACATGCACAGTGTTTCATGCTCTTTAGCTCTGAATAAAAGCCCTGTGTGACCTTGTCCATGTGTCAACACACATAGAGAGGCTCACCCCCATCATCAGCCACCCTGGCTAAGGACAGTGGGCACTGAAAGGGCTGCTGTCTTGTTCTTTCAAGACAGAATCCCTGCCCATTGTGCATCCCTGCACCGAGACTCCATCATTGTGGAAAAAGAGAGTGGGAAGAAGGAAGAAACATGTGCACAGAATTTTACCTGCTCTGGACACTTTCTGCACTCAGTTTCTCCCTCCTCCTCCTCCTACAAAGGCTTACTGACTGTCATATAAAATGCCCGATGAGCACACAGCACATCAGACATTATCTGTAAGGTGCTGCTATGATCCAAATGCCACATGTCATTATTATACACAGTTTCTGGGAAGTTTTAAAATGGCAGGCTTAGTGAAACTGATAAAACTTTAGTGAGCCCTGAAACCCTCTCGGCCAAACCTCCTCCTGAGTGTTGTTTACTCTCTATACCTTAATGAGCTCATTTGTCATGTCCCTGTAACATGGTGACAGTAAGAATTTGTGCAGTGGCCCTAATTTATAGATTTTACCTCCAGTGGAAGCTGGATCTCTCTCCATGCTCATGTGGTAAGAAAAGTTATCATGGATTATATCCACTTCTAATACTGCCTTCCTATTACATCTGTTTATAAGCCTCCCATAAACTACCACCAGAAAAGTTTGCCTTTTGAAGAAATCAACTGAGAAAAATTACCCTTGGACATCATTGCAATAACATTCATGGTCTACTTTTCACAACAGATTTGGCAGTGAAACCGCAGAGAGTCAGTCCTTGTGGTCATGTTACATTAGAACCCTAATTCATTCTGGGTGTTGTGACAAAGTACTGATGACTATGACATTGATGAACAACAGAAATTTATTTCTTACAGATCTTGATGTGAAAAATTCAGGAAGAGATGCTGGCACTTTTGATGACCGGTAGGGACCCCTCCATAATGGCTGCTTACTGTACTCTCAGAGTGTGGATGGGACATGGGAGCTCCTGCTGTCTTCTGTTACAAAGGATGTGATCACATTCATGACAGGTCCACCCTGGGACCATCACTTGTCCCAAGGCTTCATGTCCTAACACCATCACATGAGCCTCAGCTTTTAATTTGTGAGTCTTTCAGTGACACTAACATCAGCTCATAGCACCAACAAACAGATCGATCATAATTCCACCTATTTTGAAGGCTACTTCAATAGAGCTCCCCATAAATGTGAGTAGAGGATCTCCATAAATCTGTGGATGCTTCTCACACTTAGAAGCTGAAAGTGGACCCAAGCCCTTCAGAACAAGTGGAGGAGTTTATAGAGTGCAAAAGTTCCAAGGCTGCACTTTGAACAAAGATGTTCATATCATTTCTTATTTCCTATCTTACGGCATACATATAACTGCTATTCTAATTTTCTATGAATAAATAAATCTGCTTTTCTATCCATAATTACAGGTGGCTCTCTGTTCTCCCTCATACTTCCTAGTTGCTCAGTGAAATAAAGAGCCAGGATCTAGTGTTTGATGTTTGATTCTGACATATTGAGGTTCACCCCTCTCTCTCCCCATGCAAATACATGTAGGTAATCTGAGGTGGAAGGGGGAATTCTCCCTAATTTGATGCAGATGGAAGATGGAAACCACAAAAACCCCTCCTGTGAGCAGGACCCTGCTCAGGGATGAAAAATAAAGCCTGGACCACATTGGATCTGATGTGATGCAGCAATTCCTGGATCACTGAAAAGTCTGCCCTGCTCTGAACAGGTTCCTCAATGAAGGAAAAAACATTCCACAGTCCCTCTGTCTGTGTGACATCATCACCCTGGACATCCACACCACGGTGTGGTGTGGGTCCCTCTACGTCCGCATGATGTCAACTGCTATTGATGTCATGGATGGGGAACTAAATCAATGATCATCACTCCTGTTATTTTTTTTCCTTCTGGGACTGGGTTCCTACAACTCTGGTGTCCACTGTCCAGCAGGCACGTGACCTGCTACTGATCAGCTTGGACTCTGAGATGTGTGGTGATGGGCTCCTTGTTGGGTCTAGCAGAGCCTCTGTTGAATTCAGCTGATTTGGGTCTTGAGATTTATTGATTCATTAATGTTTCATTAGAATAAGAGAAAATAAACGTGTGTGACTCCTCAACATTGATCATGTGAGAATGTTTTCCTCCTATGTCAACAATCCTCTAATTCAGATACTGAATAGGTCCGCATAGAAGCATGAGGGGAGGGAGGCTACCAGAGGGAAGCTGCTGTGTGCAAAGTTAACCCTACACCTGGCAGGAAACAAACATTTAAACTTCATCTGCAGCTGCTTCCAAGTTGGTAACTGGGCACACTGTGACCTGCTCACCCCCTGGTGTCCTGAATGCTCCCTTCTAGCCAACCCTTGTGTCTCCCACAGAGAAGTTTATGTCTGGGCTCACACTGAGTTCCCTTCACTGTGTCACTTGCACAGTAATACAAGGCCGTGTCCTCGACTCTCAGGTTGTTCATTTGCAGGTAGAGTGTGTTCTTGCCATTGTCTCTGGAGATGGTGAATCGGCCCTTCACCGAGTTGGCATAGTATATGCTACCACCATCATACCTAATGTATGCGACCCACTCCAGACCCTTCCCTGGAGCCTGGCGGACCCAGGTCATATCATTGCTACTGAAGGTGAATCCAGAAGCCAGGCAGGAGAGTTTGAGGGAACCTCCAGGCTTCACCAAGCCTCCCCCAGACTCCACCAGCTGCACCTCACACTGGACACCTGCAAACACAAAGAAATTGGGTCAGGAAACTGTCACCCTCCACTGTTTCTCTGTCATATCCAGTCCCATGCTCAATGTCTCTCATTCTCCATAAATTACCTCTTAAAAGAGCAACAAGGAAAATCCAGCTGAGCCCAAAGTCCATGTTGAGTGGTCTGTATTCTGTCCTGAGTAGGGGTAGGGAACACCTGGGAAACCTGCTGGTCTCCTGTCCCAGAGCTGCTGGGTCAGGGCTGGGCTGCTTTTCACGAGCAGAAGGACTTGATTTGCATGCTTTCCTATAGTATATAAGGAGCTCTGGTGTTGGACACTGACATGAACTACATGGTCCCAAAGTGTAATATGTTGAAGGGTGGAGATGGTGCATAACCTAGGAGAGTAAATTCTCATACGAGGGAATTAAAATTAGTTATGCCTTTGAAATTCACCAGTAATAAACTCACCAAGAGCATTCAATGCTCACAGGCAGAGGGAGAATGCAAAGAGCGGGAGATTGTTGTTCAGGTCACAGGATGTTCCAATTGACCATGTTTCCCCTACAAAGCAATCAGAGTAATAACTAAGAACATAGCGTTGCCCTAGAGCACATGGACTCAGTGTTGGAGGAGTTGGAGCATCTGTGTGGATCATTGGAGACAGAAGTGTGTACTCCACAGAGAAGCAGACAATGCTCCTGGTTCATGTTCATAGAACAAAGTTTGGTGCTGAATATGCAGCAGCCTCACTGCCTCCTTTTGTTGTTATTCTCCAGACTCTGTAGTAGAACCAGATTCAAATATTTGGACACAGAGGAAACTCAGTAATGACCATATCTTCTTTGTTGAAAATGTAGGTAGAAACTGGGTAGTAAGGATGTTAACCTTTTAGGAAGTTGATTACAGAAATCTTGATACAAACCACTAATAGAAAGTAACTGCTGTAAATAAAATTATAATTGATATCCCTGGCTCGCACAGCTCAGTGGATTGAGTGCAGGCCTGCGAACCAGACTATCGCAGTTCGATTCCCAGTCAGGGCACATGCCTGGGTTGCAGGCCAGTTTCCAGCAGGGAACTTACGAGAGGCAACCACACATTGATGTTTCTCTCCCACTCTTTCTCCTTCCCTTTCCCTCTCTCTAAAAATAAATGAATAAAATATTTTTAAAAATTAAAAAATATATAATTGATAGAAAGAACATTATTTTTATGCATCCACCGATTACAGGATGAATAGGTCATTCAGAACATTTCCCATTACTGGAGCTGGTGGATCTAACTTTATTTTAAAATTGTACATGATTGCCGATTCAGCTTGATGCCCACTCTCAGCATCTGGGTTTACATGCACCTGTGAAGTAGCTCTAATTACAGGGCAGGAGAGGATGTGCTCATGGACTTGTCTGCAACCATGGCGACTCGGATATGAAACTTCTGGGTGTACTTTGTTTCATAATTTCCGGTATCAGTTTGTCCCTTCTACACAAGCCCTTGTTCTGGGGTCTGCCATATCCAGTGCATCCAGTAGTTGGTGAAGGTGTATCCAGAAGTCTTACAGGATACCTTCACTGAGAATATAGGTTTCCTCAGCTCAGCCCCCAACTGTACCATCTGTGTCTGTGGGTAGATACCTGTGGAGAGGAGGCAGGGGTGGGTGGGAATACCATTTGACTGCCCCAGGTCTATTTCTCAAACCAAGTACTGGGCATCTCCTTACCTGTAGCCACTGCCAGTAGTAAGAGGGCTCTCCAGCTTCAGTCAGTGCTGAGGGGCTGTGCCATCAGGGTGTCTGTAGGGGAGGGTGTGGCTGTGGGTGCTCTCGGGTCACAGACAGACCCACATTCAACCTAGTCTACCTTTTCTCATCTGTATATGCATGTAGCACAGTGTTTCATAGCTGAAGTCTTGACTTCACCTGAAAGAAGGCAGAGGACACAGAAACCATGATGAATGGACCAAGTCCTAACCCGCATGTGATTATATGTGCCCACTGGCTGGTCCCTGAGCTCTATGCAGACACGGTTTGTCCCAATGAAGAACTAGCCCCCACAGGACATGCTCCTCATTCTGAATCCACCTTTCAGTGACACAGAAACCATGTGGACCAATCTGGCCTTGATACCTGAATGTCTTATTATTAGACCAAAGTGTCCTCAAACATTTCCCCATAGTGAGTTAATCCCTATGAAATAGTGAAATAATCCCTATGTTTATCTCCTTAGAACTCAGATATAAAGATGTCATAAAAATGCCCTTACTGACTGTAGTTTTCATATATTACTGACTTTGGTAAAAGCTCTGAGGGAATACAGTATTTATAGTCACCTCATGTCCAACTCTTATCTTAGATGTCTCTCTGACAAGAGGAAGATGCAGGCCTTCAGAGAAAATTTCTCCCCAGCTTTGTCTGCACCTGATCTTGAAGCAGCTGCCCTGAGTTCATGGGTCTCGTGTGCCCCCTGCTGCACAGGATGCACACTTCAGGGGACAGTACTGCCTGCACTCAAAGGGCATGGACATCTCAGTGACTCTAGTGCAGAATTAAAGGCTAAGCCATGACTTCACATAATCATTTAACTCACATGTTTTATTTAACTTAATTGATTCTGTCCAAAAAACTTATTGATTCTCTGCTATTGAAGGTTCCTTCCTCCCTCACTGTATTTTGAGTCTTCGAGGTGTAGTAGGGGAGTAAGAACAGTTGGACAATGTGTGTTTGGGCAGGAATGACATAATACCTATATGCTTTCAGCATAATTTTAATTTCCCCTTGATAGTCTGAGTCAATTACCCCTAGCTGAAAAAAAAATGCCTTTGGTAGTAATACTGGATCTCCCTAAGATTAGACTGACTCTTCCTGGGGGTAGAAGTTCTCATACACCAGTGGCAGCTATAATTGCTTCATCCCATTCCTTTAAGATGAGCTTGTTGGTGGTGACCAAGTCCAGCACTGTGTTTCTATGAGGCTGCACGGAGGTCAGAAACTGTGCATTGCCTTGAGTTCCCTGCTATTGATTGCTGTTCCAAAAGCTCTGATTGGGGTTGGGGACGCTGGAGCGGGCACCCCCTTGGAATTTTCTCTGAATTGGCTGGCCATTTTGGTCAAATTTACAGTGGCACTTCTCTGCCCAATGTCTGCCACTGCCACTGAGTGGGCAACCCTTGGGGGGGAGCTTGCCATTACTTATTCCCTCTCTCAATGTGCATGGACAGTTCTTACACAGGTGACCAGGATTTCCACAACTGTAACATTTGGGATCTCTCTTAATTGCAGCAGCTAAGAGACAAGCCTTGTGTTGCTCTTTGCCAATGGGTTGGCAAGCCTTGATAAACTCAGAGATGTCTCTGGTGGTAATTTGCAAGGGTCCTATCAATTTGCTGTTCAATGGCTTTCTTGAGGATATCAATAAAGTCAATACATGCCTCAGTAGTGCCCTGACATATGGATGAAAGAAGAAGTTTCCTTAGCTCAAGAATTGGGCACAGCCTTCATGGCCCTGAGAGAAATTTGAGCACTTTGAATAAAAGCTTGAGGATTAAGCCTGGTTAATCTGCAGTGGAATCAAATCCACCAGATCCAAACAGCATAGGGAGGGTGACAGGATAATTCATTTCTTCATTTTTTGGCCACCTGGTTACTGGCTCACAGAGACTATTCCTTATGCCAGACTGTAAACTGAACAGGGGTTAAGACTTTCCTGGCCAGGGCAATCCAGTCACAAGTGGCCATTCTAATGCTATCAGTGATGGCTTGAAATAGCCCACTAGTATAAAGAGACTGAAGCACATTTTCCTTAATACTCTTTTTAAGTCCTTGTAGAGAAAAGAGAAGGGGCTCATGGGCATTTCCTTGATCCTTGACTATAATGGGGAAAGCCAAATGGGCATCTAAATCCCCAGGCTTTGCTGCCTGCTGAAGACACTGTCCCATAGCCCTGACAGGACATCTGTCTGAATTTTCTGTCTTTCTTGGTGGTGACACACCCTGTGAGGAGGAACACTCCAAGTTAAAGGAGCAAAGGCTACTAGGCAGGTCCTCTTTTGGGGTTGCAGATGAAACTTCTGTGGCCAATTCTCCTGCTACATAATATATGACTTACTCCTTTGAACTAGACTCCTAGTTCTCCTCTGTGACTAGCTCTGGTTTCTTAGCCCATATAGGCATGAGAGCAGTCTTGACTAGTCCCCAAGTCAGTAAGTCCTGAACTCCAATAGAAACACCATTGTACTTTACAGATTTTAGCTTGTCATCTGCCTTTTCCCACATTTTGATATCTAAGGTTCCCTTGTCAGGAGAAGTAGGGAAATACTCCTTTAGAGTTTGTGAAGGCTAAATGAAATGCTGTTCCTGTACCTCACATTCCACTCCCCAGAAAAGATGCTGTAACACACGCAGGTACTCTTCCTGATCTTTAGATAAACCAGAGCTCATTATTGCTGTTAAAAGGCTCCTTTTTAACTGTTGATTGTTGTCTTTTCAGACTCTGCCACCTGTGCTGAAAACCTAGCTAGTTAGCTATTGAGGGATATAGTGTGGTGGGTCAAAATGTGCTGTTGGTGAAAGATAGTCAGGAATGGGTATCGGACATTCCAGTTACCCTAACCCTGCTCATGGAGCTTGGGTCTTCCCCCAAGCATCTAAGACTGTGAGGGAGGGCTCAAAGCGCTAGGTGACTAACCTTCATATGGCACTTTCCTGGATGAACCAGAAGTTATATTAAGTCATTTTAGAGGTTCTTATAAGGCCCCTACACATTTCAGTAATTGATCCCAGACCCCCCTCAAGGTTTAGACTCATGTAGAAACACACAGTTTCTCAAGCCTAGAAGAGGAAGTGCCTTTTGTCTTTGGAGCTTGACTAATTCCAAAAGCTCTTATACAAAACCTGTGACTAACATTAAATTTTTCTGGAAAGTGATATTCAGAGTCAAGTCGAAACCAAAACACTCATTCACTATCTGCTTTTCTTTATGCAGGAGGATGGACGGAAAAGCACAATAGAAAGGACTGCAAGAAGAGGCCTCAAAGACTCTGCTGAGTTCCTTTTAAATAGTCCTGCAGAGGGGAGTTTCAAGATGGCAGTGGACTAGGACGGAGCAGAGACCAGTTCCTAGTACAAAAGAGACAGAAATCCATCCGATCGGAGGAGGTGAGGCCAGCAAGCCAGCAGATGCCAAGCATATATGAAAATAAGAGACCAGAAACCTCATCGGTCACGGAGGAACCAGAAGGTAGGGAGACAGCAGCGGTACAGC